CCCACACCCGTTCCCTTCCTCCTTTATCCCGTTATCTCTCACATCACTGTGTCAGGAGAGTACTTGATTCTGAGCTCCGATTTGTTTTGTTTTTCTTCCTTTTTAAACTGTATTCACAAGTTGGCCCTGTGCCTTCCAGTTTCATTATCTGATGGCAGAGCAGTCAGGTTGAGAGATAGCCTCATCACCAGATGAATAGGTGACAATGTAATTTGAGTGATTAAAATATAAATCAATTAAACCTAGCAGGCCCAGCAATCTTCTACACTTATGGGCTAAGTATCTTGAGTTTAATAACACACTTATCAAGGTTTCATTTAGCTAGACTTAGAATTATGCCTTTATCATGCTCTCTCTGCTCCTTGCCACTCTGGGTTTATAAAAGCACTCCTAATTGATTGCAATTATTTTAACGCAACAATTTCAGAATCATTTTTTATCTGCTGCTTAAAGACATAGCTGAGAACAGCTTCAGTCATTGTGCTGTTGCTGAGCTAAAACACCATGGCCAAAAGCAGCTTCAGGAGGGAAGAGTTTACTTCGGCTCACAGTTCCTCCTCGTCACAGTCCATCATGGAGGGAAGTCAAGGCAGGAACTCAAACAGGGCAGGCAGCTGAAGGCAGGAGCTGCTGCACGGGACATGGAGGGAAGCTGCTGACTGCTTCTGTGTGTAGAGCTAAACTCTAACAGGGATTCAGCACAGATGCTGCCACTGCAGAAACAGCAGCTCAGGCAGCTGGTGCCGTCTAGAGAGAAGGGAGCCCAAATTCGCTGTTGTCCCATGGCTTCTTTGCCCATTCTAGTTGGTTTCCTTTTCAATTTTTGCTAGAGCCTGCTTCTAGTTTCTTTTTAATCTTAACGCCCTTCTTGGCTATTGCCACAAGCCAAAAGGTCACACAGTAATTATACAGCCTTCACATCACGAGATAACTTGAAGAATTAAGGATTCTTCTGAGGGATGAAACCAGTAAAAAAGCTGTAGCTGACGTTATAATCTGGTGAACGAATTGGCTGTGTCTTGCTGTAGATTCTTCCTGTAGCTTGTTCCTATCTGTAACAAACATGGGATTTACTTCCCACAGTTCAGCACCACCTGATCATTTACTAGGAACAAATTTCTCCCATGCATTTGGGGTTTTACTGATCACACTCCCTAGCTATGTGTAGATACCTGTTCTCCATTAGCAGGTCCTATTCTTTAGCTGTAGGTGAGGCCTGCTTCCCATTATCATAATTGCAGAGGGCTATCTGCAATGCACACTTATTGAAAACCTCCCAAACCTTCATTTTCTTCCCTCGGCCTCCAGCACTGCTAGAGGACTCTCCCTTCCACCACATCTGATCTGATGTGAGCCTCAGTTAGGACTTCCAAGAGCACTGCATAAAGACTTGTAACGCTGAGCACTGCTGTGTGTGCTGACCCCTCCTCCTCTTCTCTTTCCTAGAATTCCAATTCCATAAACTCCTCACCCTCTTCCCAGTGTCTCCATCTCTCTCTCACCTTTCCTGGATCCTGCCGTGTGCCCTACAGACTAGATTGTTTCTGCTCTCCCACCTGGAAAATTTCCTAAAATTGTTCCCCAAGACCTTGGGCTATAAAATAATCCAACCTTTGCAAAAAAAAAAAAAAAAGCCACATTATCTGGGCCCAAAGTCCTTGACCTTGAGCTGCCAGTATATTCTGCTTCTCCCTTTTCTCATCAATGTTCTATTTGAAGATGTCACATCATCATCATGAAAACCCCAAACTTTATGTAGTCACTCTAACTTCGGCAAGCCCCTGGTTGAATCACATCGGTTATTTCTGAATTTCTGGCACTGAGTACAGCAGGCTTCTGATTATTCTCTCTGCCACCTGCTTCCTTATATTCCAATGAATCTGTTCTTGTCTGCTACAATAATATTCCCAGGAAACATCTGACTGCTATTGTATCCCAATAGTGTTCTTAGCCTGCTGTGACAAATACCTAAGATGAACAGTTTTTACAGTGTATTTTGGCTTGCAGTTTGGAGATTTGGGTCCATGGTCAGCCCTTGTCCACTTTGGGCCCACAGTAAGGCAGAATATCTGACAAGGATGTGTTGTGGAGCAGAGCTGCTCACCTCACGACAGCCTGGAAGCACAGAGACAGAGAGCGAGAGGGGCTAGAGATACAGTCATCTCTTTGAGAATATGGTCCCAGGGACTGCTTCCTTCAATTAGGTCCCCTTTCCTAATTTCCACCATTTCCCAATGATGCCACGAATTAGGAAATTGTCGATAGACTCACCCACTGATGGCGGCAGAAGTCTTATGATGTACTCATCAGGAGTCACATCTACAGCCACTGCTAATTGAGCTTTCAGCACCAGAAGATTTTGAGGGACATGTCTCATGGAAACACAAGACAACCTTTACCTGCCAATTAAAACCAAGTACCTCCTGCAAGGACTTTCAATGTCCTTCATTAATCACACTCATTTGGGGGAGTTTCCCCCAAAGCATGTGCCTTCTAGCATCTTCTATACCTCAGTCTCAGGACCAATTGTCTACCCTATGTCCTGGCATAACCTCACCAGTCATGTGTCCTTCTGTTCTGTGTACTGTTATAGCCCCAGTCTCTAGTAAAAGGTGAGCATTCAATACATAGTACTGTCAAGTACCCTTTTAAAAATCACCATACTTTCCCTTCCAATTCTCAGATAAAAACCCAAATGCATAAAAAATCACTGTGATGAGTTCAGGAGAGCTGATTACAGACTCCTCCAGTAACGGTTCTCCATTCAGGTCACTGATGGGTTCAGTCCCTTTATATTCCAAGAGGGGCTGTGTTTTCAGCTCTCTTGGATGTGTTTAGCTTGCCAGGCATCTACTTCTCTCTATTTTTTCCATGGGAGAAAATTGCTTTTCTCTATCAGAACCTAGAAACGTGAGCTTACTCCAGGTCTTCTCCAGTACTGGGAATAAATGTTCCTCTCTTAGTTTTTAGGCTGAATGCCCCGATGCAGTGTGGGACACGCTGACCCATCTCCTATGCTCCTCACACATGCTCTCACAGTTACACCTAGTTCATCGTTTGTCTTTCCCGGGAGACAGTGTCTTTCACAGTCTTTAGAGTTCAGTTGACGAAACGATGGGGAAGAAGAATTGTCTATGTGTTAAATCATGTGAAGATGGTCCCTAGCTACACATGGTTGGACTTTGGGTCTTTCACCTTTATGGTGGTGTGAAGGTGACATGTGAGATAGAAACTGTACTTTGCCTTTTTAATTGAGATCTTTTCCTTGGCTGGCGATGCTGGTTCAGATCCTCTCTGGCAATGCTCACAGCATTAGGGACCATTTCTAGTAAGTCAGCCACAAGAGGAAACAGCAGTGTTCTGCAATTCTCTCTATGGCCAAGCAGTAATACCTACTATGTCACATGTAGTGGGTGCATCTGGAATTTAATGGCACTTTAATTAGTGACAGTTTATAGGATGTAACCCCATCCTCAGTCTAAGAGCACCTGAAGTTGAAGGATTAAGTGGCCTCTTTATTTCAGCATGTTCAGATCATTGTTATCCTCAAGCCCTAACCAGTACCTCCCCAATGTATTACTTACGTTAATAACGAAGGTCCCACTCTGCTGCCCTGAATCTGGGCATCGGGAATGATCCGTCTCCTGCCCTTCAGGTCACTCACTCAGTCATATGACCTATGAATAGACGTTGATTCATATATACCTCCCAGGTGCATTGGTGGCCCTTAAATCCCACTGCCCAGAAACTGCCACGTAGTCACTTGTCACCAGTATGGCTGCCATAGGATACCACCCGGCACATAGTTGATTCCATCAGATGTGTGAGTGAAGGGATGGCTATGTTAAAATCATGCTCAAACCCCCACAGGCAAACTCTCCAGCCACATGGTCAAGCTCTCAAGAACTGTGTTTGATGCAGAAGACCATTGGACATTTTTATGAAGACAGGGATCCCATGGTGGATGAAAGCTGCCCACTTACCTGGCTGTCAGGAAGCAAAGAGACAGGAAGAGGAAAAGCTGGAGTCCCAATACCCTGTTCAAGGGCACACCTTTGAACTTCCTCCCAGTGAACCCCACCTTCTGAAGATTGCACCCCCTCCTGATAGGACCAAACTGGAGACCAAGCTTAACCCACTGGACTTTGGGGGAACACTCCAAATTCAAACTATAGCAACATGGTTATTAGGGTCAGTCTAACATGTTCCCTAAAGAGTCTCCAGGGCTTGTGGCCTAGAAACATCTTAAAGCAAGCCTCCAGGATAAAAGGGAGTGAGGCTATAGTAAATATCTAATGAAAGTGTGAGTGATTTTAATATTGTCCATTCATCATGGAGTGGGCCACTTCCTGCTCAGATCTCAGTGCTTCTAGAGTCTCAATACTGAAGTGGGATGGTAGGGAGTGGCAAGTGGTAGGTAGTGGAGACAGGGGCACCAGAGCAGACACTAAACAGACACTTCCTCCCTTTTTCTCAACAGTTCTATAGAGGTTACAGCTGCCAGATATTGGGAGAGAAATTACCACACCAACAGTTACACTGACACTCCTGTGGGTCTTCAGATGGCCTCTTGGGAGTTCTGTCACCTGCCAAGTGAGCCCCCGACGTCTTCATACCCCTTCCCTGCCATCTTAATCAAGGCTGAATAAATTTGACTGGGAGGGTGGTGCATGTCTATAATCCTAGCTACTCAGGAGGTTGAAACAGGAGTGTTGCTTGAGGCTTGGAGACTGGGGCTAGCCTGCATGTCACAGTGAGAACATGACTCTTTAAATATTAGCAAATTCAGTAAAGATGTTCTAGATCTCTAGAGTTTGGCTGACTGTCCCCAAGCTTTCAGAACATATCGGCATGACTCCCATTCCAAAAGGCAAACGGAGCTCAAGTCACGTGACTTCTGTTATCTGTCACCATGGAAAACACTGGCCATCTGTGAGGCTCCCATTTTAACACTTTTCTCCCCTTCTCTTTATTCCCATCACTTCCTTGGGAAAAACAAGCTGAGGAAGTGGAGAGACTGGCAGCAATGCGCTCTGACTCGCTGGTCCCGGGCACACACACCCCGCCTATCCGGAGGAGGAGTAAGTTTGCCAACCTGGGAAGGATTTTCAAGCCTTGGAAATGGAGGAAGAAGAAAAGTGAAAAGTTCAAGCACACATCTGCAGGTAAGGTGCCTGCTGGCCTTGTTTCTCATTGACTGTTCATTGAGTTAAACATTGCATCTTAATTTGGAGGATTTGATCACCATCCTGACCCAAAGCAGAAACTCCAGCCTTGGGATCGCTGTTGACTTTAATAACCCCTGATAGCATAAGGACTGGCTTTTAAGTCTCTTAAAAGCTTCTGTCCCATCTCTGGTGGAGGTTCTTCTTTTCTCTTGTTGGCTATTTTTTAATTTAAAAATGACTTAGTTTGATTTATAAATAATCTGAGCTTGCAATTCCACTATTTTTATAATTGAATACTTTCACTCCAGCCCTGACAATCCATTTCTTATTATTCACCCTGATTTCCACTGCTCCAGTAAAAGTCAACAGAAAGCAGAAAATGACTTATGGATGGTTGTTGGCAGATAAGATCAAGTTATTTCATGGAGGGAGAATCATGAATAAATGATTCTTGGACAAGGCAGAAAAGCAAAGAGTGGAAGTGAGTCCTCACTGCAGTGTGAGGTTAACCATGCATCTCACAGCTCCATGGCCATCTGGGAAACATTCCTGGAGCCAGACTGCCTGGGTTCAAGACCAGGTTCTGGTACTTGCTGGTTCTAGGAGCTTGCTTAGTTTGTTTACCTGTACCTCAACTTCCCCATCAATAAAACAAAAGGGTAAGAATCAGTACTTTGCATGAATTTCATTTTGTGGAGACAATGAGCAGGTGGCCACTTTTATGTCAGGAGGATGTGGAAAGGAAAATGCATAGGGAATGACAAGGAGTTTTTATCCTGTTTGTTTTAGAGATGGTAGGAAATCTGTGCAGATTGGATTTGGTTTTGTGGTAGTCTTGGTTGGTATACCAAAATACTAGCCACCAGATGGCTTAAACAAGAGAGGTTTATTTCTCACGATCCCAGGTGAAGTTGTAAACCATGTTGGTTTCTTTGGGGAACCTGTTGGTGGGATGTTCAGTGCTCTCGATCTTGCTACATGCTCACCATGGACCTTCTTTTTATGCATATACAAAGAGAATGCTGTCTGGGTTTCATCTGAGTGGGGGGAACTTATCAGAGGCCCCACGCTCTTGACCTCGTTTAAACCTAGCTAGTCTCCAAAGACACACATCACCCTGGGGCTTCAGGAGTTGGCATATGACCTTGAGAATACTGCAAGTTAGTGTATAGCCTTTTGTTTCTCTACATGGATCCCACCACTCCATGGGTTCTCTTCTAGACTTTTATTTCTTTCTTACACCATTTTCTAAAATCTCACCCTGTTTTCTCTCCTCAAGGCCGTTACCTCCTCTACTGCTTGGGCTTCTGCCCTCTGCCCCACTCCTAAGAAATGATTGACTTCTTGTGCCTGCCACACAAAGAAACTAGAGTTATCAAACAGGAAGCTTTTGAAATGATCATGGTTCTCATAACAGACACTCCCAGGCCTACTCCCCGAGCACTGTAGCCCTATAGCTCTGATTTGCTGGTTTCTGAAGTGAGAACAGGCTTATCATTTCATGAGTTTCTACATCATTGCCCCTCCGGCACAGTCCCTTCATTCTGACGCTGCCTTCTCCTCCTCTCTGTGGACAGAGGCAAATATGATCGAATTGGATGACTCATGAAATATTAAAAATATGAAAACTTTGCATGTAAAGGTGTTTTGAGAAAAAGACTCTCCAGTCTATAACTAGTAGACTCTCTAACTTTAAGTTATTACCATTGTTCTTGTGTGATCACCATGATCAGGCTGTCTGATCTGGCAGCTAAGAATGCTGTTTATATATGATTTCTGTCTCTTTTTTAAAAGACGCCATTCCTAAACGGACATAGTTTCAAACTGCCCTCTAGATCTGGATCTCTGTACCTGTGCCTGAGTGCAGCTTGTGGACCTCACCAGAGAAGTTTCTTTGTGCAGTGGTTGACTTGCAAAGGTGGAAGCGCAGAGAATCAGTGTCTGCGAAGTGCTCAACCGTAAAGGTCATCTATATCCCACCTCCTTACCCCAGGCCTCAATAACATCACAGAGGAGGGTACAGAGGTCAGGGAGAAAAGTGTGTGTGGGGGGGGGGACGGCCTCCTCTGTATTTGACAGGCCCACTGTACACATGAACTCCCAGCCGCTGTGGTTGCCTACAAAACACCTTCCCGAGATCAAGTCAGTTGACATCCCAGCACAGAGCTGTTAAAAAAATGAAAAGGAAGTGGAGAGGAAACCTAGATGAGATGCACTCTGTAGGCAACGTAAGGCGGAAAACGACAGAACAGAACGGAAATGGAAGTGTCTTCTGAGGGCCTAGTGACACTTGTTACTGCCAAGGAGTCACTTAGCTTTAAGGTTCTGGTACCAGTAGTTGTCCATGCTCCAGGGGATGGCTCCTAAGCCACGTATATATGAACAGTACTAATTGGGCTCAGTGAGTTGCTATATAAAAAAAGAGAGGGCGGGATGATGATTGACTGACAGATCTAGGAGGAGTTAGGGGGAGGAGGGGCATGTGAATATGCTCAAAATACATTATAGGCATGTAGGGAAAAAATCTCCAAAAATTAATAAGAATATTGTATCAATAAGAAGACACACCTCCTGGATTAGAAAGTAGAGGATACACTATAGAACTTCTTTTTACCATAATAGATGGATGAGCATACCACATTGCTGAAGCTATTCTAATTTATTTTAAACCCATGTTTCACCTTATAGCATCCCTTATACTTAATTGGATTGCAGATATTATTTATTACCTTTACAGAGGAAATACTTTCTGGGCTAGTTCTTATTGCAAAGGGATAATTTGACAACATAGGGATTCAACGTGATGAATTGTATACTGGTATATAACTAAAAATGTTGACTCTCCTGTGTTTGGGTAAGTCACAAAAATGAGAAATATACAAGAGGATTCCTAGGTTATAGGAATGAGAACTGGTCAGCTGTTTTCAGCTGGTGTTCATACATTTGTCTTGTATGTGTTTGCTGTAAATTGAAGCTGGTAAGACAGCTCGTTCAGGACCATCACAATAGGTAAAGTGGCCTTTGCAATGGGGTCTTATAGTCAAGGAGGGAGTTCAGATTTCACTCTGACGTCTCATACATGCTAGGAAGCTGAATGACAGTCAGTGGATGCATAGTGACCATGAGAAAGCATCTTCAGGGATAGGAGAAATCCTGACTTAATCAACTTAAGGTTTTTTTTTTCTGAAATCAGGACAGGATGCTCAAACATCTCTGAAAGAGATGTACTATAAGAGAAAGAACACCACTGGAGACCAAGATGGGCCATATATTAAAGGTAGAGGATGCTAATTAAAACTGGATGATGCAGAGAGGAACACAGGAACCTCAGACCTTTGCTCATCCCCTCCATTGCTTCCTGATCAGCAGGGATGTGTACAGGCATCTACTGTACGATCCTGCTTTCATGAAACCCCTGCTACCACACCATCCCCACTGCAACAGACTCACATCCCCTCACTGTGAGCCTCCTCTAAGTTGTTTCTTATCAGGTGTTTGGTCACAGCAACTAGAAAAGTAACCAATACAACACAGATGACTTCTTTTACTAGATGTAGCTGTCCATCACAGCTATGGATAAAGCTATGGGAGCCTTCCTGGGTTGGATTTTGCCAGTTGAGTAAAAAGAGAAACAGGAAAGAAAATGAAAATGGGGGAGAAGGGAAGGGAAGGGATTTATATTCATGTCCAAGATGTTTCTGGAGCAAGTTACCATAAACTCAGTGGTATAAAGCCATGGAAATGTGTTGGCTCACAGTTCTGAAGACCAAAGTCCAAAGTCAAGACACTAGTAGGACTGGCTCCTCCTGCCATTCTGATAGGGAAGTCCTTCTACCTCTGTCCCTCCTGCTGCTGATTATGCCAGCGTTGCTTGGCTCATTGCTGTGCTTTGTCTCTGCCTGTATCTCTATCTGTTTCCGTTGTATCTCTCTGGGCCTTAGATCCTTTCCTTCTCTTACAAGGACGTTGTTTAAGAATAACAATTAGTAGTAATCCCATTCAAAGACACTTCTGAGCCAGGCATGGTGGTGTCTCACTCCTGTTAGCACAGTACCAGGAAGACCTGTTATATAGTGAGTACCGGGCCGACTAAGCCCACATAGTGAGATCCTGTCTCACAACAACAGCATCAACAAAATACTTTAACTTTGTCACATTTGCAATTAGCTTATTTTCAAGTAGGTCTTCATTCATGGTCATTAGGAAGTTTCATGTGTCCTTTGAAAGGTAGCAAGGGTTTAAACAGACATGTAGATTAAAAAAGAGAACTCCAGTAGATTGACAGAAATTAGAAAAGTCAATAGACTTCAAGTCCCAGACTGGTCAAAGAACTTCAGATGATCAGCGAAGTTAGTGGCAGAAGCAGCTCAAAGGACAGGTACACACAGTGACAAAACCCAGATCCTCAGATAAAGGATCTTCATGATGGTACTATGTGGGAACAAAAGACACACTAAAACCATGGCATAGGCTTAAATACCTGCATACCTTATTTGTAAAGTTTCCTGATGGCTTAACATTGTCATTGTCAATCATGTAAAACAAGAAACTTTGCTGTGTAGTTTTCATATTAAACTATTGAGCTGACAATTTCTCTTGACAATTCCCCATTCTTTTTCCAAGCTGAGATTTTTTTCCCACCATCTTTGTGAGTGACTGAAGTACTACCACTTAATTGAGTCATAGAAATCAAGGGTTGCTTTCAAGTCCCTTTCTCCTTCTATTAGCAGGCACTCCTGATACAAGCAGTGGTATACTCAGACAGCAACTCCCAGACAGTAGTCACTGCTTGCCTGTTTTCCTACTCTCTATGAGTCACACTGGCACTCAGATCTGCCCAGCTGACAGCAGTGTGAGCTAGAAACAGTAGCACTCTCCATTGGTAGGACACAGAGATAACTCACTTGCTTTTGCACATGGTTCTTCTGTGCCAGATAAAACATATAGAACAGGGTTTGTGGACAGGATATCATATGAGCTCCAAGGAGCAGTAAACA